TTTAATTTTTTATCCATTACAGATTCATAAATTATTTAAATTATTTCTTTATATCTCTTAATCGTTTCTTTTGATATTTAATGCATAGAGAATGAACAGAGATAAAAGCTGATTTTAAATATTTCTATTAAAAATATATTTCGTTTTTCATTAGAAATATAATTTGTACACAAAATATAGTTTTTGTGTGTATAACTTTAACAATTTAGAATATATTATAAATAGAAAATTAAAAATGAAAGAAAGACGTGTATCAAGTAGGTTGAAATTCAAAATTATTTACGTCTTGCTTTTAATTGTTTACTTTTATTTTCATACCTTAACTTGTCCCACGCATAATGTTTTCGGGGGTTGATTGGCACGAACTACAAATTCAGGACCAACACATTGCGCCTTATTGAAACACCTGGTAGGTCCACCCACCGTTCTGTATAAGCGCGATGGTGCTCTTTGAACTGCTTTTCCTCGTCGAGCTCTTGGCCCGTTTCTCACCATGATTCTGAAAATATTTTTATACGATTTTTCTAGATGTAACAGAAAAAAAAAATAAATTATCATAGCAAAATATTTCAGTATAAAAAGCAGGATTATCTATAGTAAGTCAAATGTAATCAATTAACGATGAGTGGACGCTAAAGAGGTCGATTTTATTTTTTCCTATCTTTTTTTCTGTCACGTGAGTAATATAGATTGAGTAAAGCGCAGTTTTTCATATGGCATAAGAGACCGCGATGCACATAATTATGCAGCAAACCGAAACGCCTACAGCAAAATTTCACAGACAGACATCACGTGGAACGTTATATACAGCGATGTTAACGAACTCTCGCACTCCGAGTTTAATTAAACTTTAACTGGAGACTCCGGATGCTTTTTTAGGGCATCACTAAATGTCTCCTCTTGTCTTTTACTTTTCCTATCTTTCTCTTCTCTTCATATTCTATTCTTTCTACCGAAAACTTACCGTGATAAAAGGTCGCATGTTTTCCCAGAGCCAAAATTAATTTTTGCGATTAGGAATATAATGTTCATGGGAGAGAATAGCAAAGGTTTGTGAAAATAATATAAGAAACATATTTACATTTATTTAAACTTTTAAAAATACAATGTGATTGCATTGAAAGACATCGCTTTACATTTTATGAAATATTATCACGATTAATTGGTTAAATATTATGGATTATATCCCAGGTAGCAAGCTACGTCATTTTGTCGTCATTTTGACATCAAATGACGTCATTTTGACGTCAAATGACGCCATTTTGACGTCAGTTTGCTACCAGGGATATGTTATAATATGCCATTCAAGATTAAATGTCAAAGTTGAAAATTAGTGCAGGGAATATTTTAAAATGAACATTGTTTTGTAACGAAGGCAATTTTAATTTAACCACATTGACTTCGATTTATTATAATTTTTACAATAAAAATATTGTACTAATTATTTCTATTTAACTATATATACGTGCTTTCGTTTGATTTCCGTTTGAAACGTTTGAATGTCATAAAATCTAGGGCTCCGTAACTCTCATAAAGGTCAAAGGTTGCCGTCGCGCACTGTCCGCGCCGCGTTTCGATCTTTCCACAACCAGCATAGCTATTGAACAGTCCATCAGCATGCATTCGACTACTAGCTGTAACATCTAGCTGGTTTTATACACTCTAAACGTATCCTGAGTTTCTCAAGTAAGAAATAGGACATCAGCTATTGTCAATAAGATATCTGTTTCATTCTATTTTGTAACCCTAGCGAAAATAGAAGTAGAACGTAATAAACTCGAATGTAAGGAGGAAATAACAGAAGCATAAATGAAGCTTCTAGGAGGCGAAAATTGACACTATGAAACGTAAAAGAGGCATTTACGCTTCTTTTATGTTTTGTTGTTTCAATTGCTTCTGTTATTCTCCCCTTACATTCAACTTATGCTTCGATTTTTATTTTCGCCAAGAAAAAACGAAGGTCTATCGTGATCTACGACTAGAGCGTAAAAATGAGAAAGAAAATAGCTATTCTACTCTATTATCGTATGTTCCTTATTATATACGGATCAATGCAAAATCATCACTCGATATATGCCCTAACTTTACTTGGGGAACTGTAATGATCTGTTCAAAAGCACGATGCATCAGAGGAAAATTGTCTCTGACGCGTCTCTCTGTTAGAACCGTCTCTCTGTGAACCCTCGTAAGCGCTTATTAATAGGAACATGCGACTGGGAGGCAAAACTTAGTAATGCGGGCCGCGCAAGAAGATCACGAAACTATTTCATGTCTCTCACGTGTCCTTATTTGCCTCCTCATTGCCTCTAAACGTCCATTTTCGTCGTAAAATCGAGCAAATGAAATTCTGCTAAAGAAAGAGTAAAATTTTAAAGAAGTAAATTCATGGATTATCCGTAATCCGACATTATCGTTATATAAAATTGTGAGTTTATTTGCTTTTGCAGTGTATAAGTACGGTACATAATGTTATATATTAGTATCTTTTTAAGAAAGCTTTGAGACTTACGAGACTTTTCTCGAAGAGATAAATAAAAGGACGTTTAATTAAAGAATGAAACTACCAGAAACTCTTTATTCTTTTTCTTTTCTTTTTGCTCTAAATGAAATTGGTTATTGATTAAAATTTTATCTGCTAGCTTAGATAGTTTGTAACGATTCGAAATAGCAAATTGGATCGGGATTAAATGTTTTTTTCTCTAATAATGAATAATGCGCAATATGTAATTCAATTTTCTGACGAACAACCTACTTTCTTCTTTCTTTTATTGCGATAGAAAGTTAATGTGTAATAGACTAAGCCTGTGATAAACTGACGCAGATAATTGATTATAATATAAGAAATGAGAGAAATCTACCTGGGAGGCTTTGCTGGCGGTTCTGTGTGGCTATTACATTCCGAATCGGAGAGAGCGGTTTTTCTTAAGGTAGTGATAATTCGAGGTGGTTTCGGGGGTCCTTGCAGTCCTCTCAGCCTCATGGTAGTTGCTAAATTTGGTTGCCGTATCGTCTGTCCTTTTTGCGCAATGTCGACACATCGAGATTCGGTCGTTGCTACGCTCGGCTGTGACAATCGCTTAAAATCTTCGTCAGTTTGCGTTCTACTCGGTAGTTGTGGGTTCGAGTGTTGCCTTTGCAAAAGTACTCTTCCCGGAGGTGTTCGTCCATATGTATCTTCGTGGAGACGTTCATTTGGTTGGGAAGTTACATCGGGTTGGGAGTGACCAGTATTTGAAGGATGCCTATTTCAGAAGAGTTTTTAAGTCTCAGAATGAAAAAAGCATATTGCATAAAGTAGAACAAATTAACCCCTTGGCTGAGTTCGTATGAAATTATATCGCTATTTTCAATCTCCATCCAGCTCCATTGTGGATCTTGACTATAAAAAGTACTTTCTATTGATGAAATATATATATATAGAGAGAGAGAGAGAGAGAGAGAGAGAGAGAGAGAAACGTTTACATTACAACGTCAACATATCACATGTCTCTTACCGCGCGTCAATATTGAATATCGTCTATGATTATTGAATTCTGTTGATTCGCATAGGAATATATTTGTTATTTTTATCATTATTAAATACTGTAATTTTTGCATTCCCTGTCTTTCTCACTTTCCAAATTTCCAGCCAAATTTCGCTCATACTGAACCACCCCATTTGCCAAGTCCGTGATTAAGTTATCGGTTATTAGTGTCGTTGCTGTTCGCGATTTCTTCTTTACAGAAAATTAATTTGATTATCCTCAATTTTGTGAAAGAGCGGCATATTCTTTCTTGTCTGAGTTCAACTATCGTTGTTGTTGACGAATACATTAGAAAAATTTAAGACTATCGGGAGTATATTAAAAAATATTCAGGACTATATATATATATATATATACTAAGATATTTTCGCGTGCTGCGATCATGCACCGATCGTTGCATTTATGCAAATTTGGCTAAATACAAATTAAAATAATTGACGACATTCTTGTTTAACAAGAAGATATCGAAGTGTCGAAAAGAATTACTTTATATATAGTTATCTATTCTTTTTTGTCTCAAAAGATCGTTAATAGAAAAGTCACTGACTGCGTTCAATAGAGAAAACCAAACAGTGAGCGCTCAGCGATTCTTTAACATAATTGCTTCCTGCACTTATTTTTAAATCCAGCGAAGAACTAAGGGCAAAAACCAATCATATTATAGAATTACTGAGCGCTCACTGATTGGTTTTTTCTGTTGAATATAGCATTGCAGTGGCGTTTTTTCGAAAGAATGAGTTAGCAAAAAATCACTATAATAGCGCATAATAGTCAAAGGTTTAAATATAAAGAAACTATATCATTTTTATTTTTTAATGAAATTATTTAAGACTAAAAATAATTATTTTCTTGAGTTTGGACTGAATTTAAAGTCGTGAAAATATCTGTGTTTAAATGTAACATTTCTGAAAACTTACTCAAAATTAATTGACTTGTAATGAAAAATTATTATATAGAATCTATTGACTATCTCTGTCTCTATTTTCATGATTCACATTTATGTGTGTGTGTGTGTGTGATGAAAATAAATTAAATTAAATTTCTTCATCTTAAAATCTGAATTTAATATTGTGATTTAAAAAATTATAATAAATATAGGTATAGATTAGTGAGAAATAAAATAACAAATAATATCGATTGATTTTTTTAAATAAGTACGCGAATGATATCCAGCGTGTACCTGTTTATTGATGATGATCTACCATAAACTTCGTCTCCGTGATAGATCGCTGGAGGTTTCGCAGACAATCCATTGACTCGCACATCCTGGGAGCTCAGGAAGGGTTTAACCGGCAGGGCATATATCGGGTCGTTGTAAACATTCCCGTCGGGATTACCGTCTACCATCGCGCTCGTCGTCGTCGGCAGATTGCCACTACTCCTGGTATGTTGAAGCCGCGTATAAACCGGC